TCAAATATTGCAGTGCGCCAACAATACTGCGATATTGTTCGGGACTATGATACAATGTGCCTTCGGTCTTGGATAACCTGTGATAAGGGAGACAGGGTGTAGCACATGATTTGGCATCTTGCATATCCACCTTGGCTAGAAGATCCTGAATATACTTTGGTTTGAGAAACAAACAAGCCTGTGCTCTTGTAAGTAATCTGCAAACCTAAGAAGTAATGTAAGTTACCCAAATCCTTCATATCGAATGCTTGTGTCAAGGCTGAAACGACCTCAGAAATAAGAGAAGAACTGCTGCCAGTTAGGATGATATCATCCACATAGAGTAATAAAATCACAATACCAGTAGGGTGCTTCTTAACAAACAAAGAAGGATCGGAAAGAGAGGCATTAAAGCCTAAACCCGGTAAGAAACTCGTAAATTTCTCATTCCATGCCCTGGGGGCCTGTTTTAAGGCCATATAAGGATTTTTGAAGTTTGCACACATAATTGGAAGGATGAGAAGAGCTCACAAACCCCGGAGGTTGACTCATATAAACTTCTTCAAGGAGATCACCATGTAAAAATGCATTTCGAACATCCAATTGTTTTAAACTCCAATTAAACTGAGCTGCAAGTGCTAGAATTAACCTGACAGTGGTTGGCTTGACTACGGGACTAAAAGTCTCAGTATAATCTATGTCTTCCTCTTGACTGTAGCCTTTAGCTACAAGGCGAGCTTTATACCTCGCTATAGACCCATTTGGATTCTTCTTAAGCCTGTACACCCACTTACAACCAACCAAGTTCTTGCCAACTGGGAGAGGTACAAGTGTCCAAGTCTGTTGGGCTTCCAAAGCATGAATCTCATCTTGCATGGCAACCTGCCATTCAGGGATTTTACTAGCTGTTTTATACGAAGATGGTTCTGTAAGTTGCACGACTGATGAGGTAACAGAAGCTGAGAAAGCTTTTCTCTTAGAAATCCCACTCTTGGACCTTGTTTGCATTGGATGAAAACTGACAGAAGGTACTGGCAGTACGACACTGAGACTTTCTTGCTGAAAATCAGGATCAACAGGGATCGGGGACTGTGTAGCTGAGAGAGAGGAGCCATCAAGGGTGAGGGTGACATATCTGGGTAAGTAGAAGGTGTAGGCAAAGGCATAGGATTGGTGGGTGAAGGATTTGATAACTCTGGAGCTGTAGTGGGAGATGCCAAAGACTCTGAAGCACTAGAGATCATAGAAAGAAGACTCTGGAGCTCGAGGGGCTAAATGTAATGATGTAGATGATGATGAAGAGGTGTGTGATCCAACAACATTTTGAAGTGTGACTGATGGTGGTATAACATGTGAGGAAGACAGTGATGGTGACTGTGTAGTATGAGATTGAGAAATGAGAGTCAAATAGGGATAACTGTGTTCATCAAAGATCACATGTCTCGACACATAAAATTTTTTGGTAAGGGGATTAAAACAGATATATCCTTTATATTGGCCAGCATATCCCAAAAATATGCACTGTGCAGTTTTTGGACTGAAACTTAGAAGTATTGTACTGTCTCAACATGGGAAAACAACTACAGCCAAAGACCTTTAAATGTGTCAACACTGGTGATTTCTGAAACAAAACAAGCATAGGGAGATTGCCTAAACAAAGTTTGACATGGCATTCTATTTATTAAATAAACAGAAATGGCACAGGCATGGAACCAAAATTGTGAAGGCAAATGAGCTGTTTGAAGAAGAGTGAGAGCAGTTTCTATAATGTGCCTATGTTTTCTCTCGGCAAGGCCATTTTGCTCAGGTGTATAAGGACAAGATTTATGATGCACAATGCCTTTATCTAGTAAAAACTGTTTGAAAGGGGTACCAATGTACTCACCACCACCATCACTTTGAAAAACCTTAATTGCAGTTGAAAATTGAGTTTGTATAAAAGAATGAAACTGCACAAAGGTATGAAACACCTCAGTTTTATTCATTAAAGGAAATATCCAGGTAAACCTGGTACATTCATCAATGAAAAGTACATAGTATTTTAAAACCCTCAATGGACAAAGTAGGTGATGGTCCCCACACATCACTGTGTATGATTTCTAAGGGTTTTATGCTTTTATTTGCAGGAAATGAAAAAGGAAGTTTAGTAAACTTTCCTTGCAAACAGGATACACAAACATGTTTAGAACAATCCACAGAAAATGGGACTTGTGATTGTTGCAACATTTGAGAAACAACAGTGTTTGAGGGATGTCCTAATCTGTTGTGCCACAAGCTTGTGGTCACTTGTTGACCAAGGTAACAATGTTGCTATTTGTGTAAATGAGAGGTGTCGGTGATGCTTGTTTGAGAATGGATGATGGTATGTATAATGGAATGGGATATAGACCAGCTCTACACAGTCCCTGAAGAAGAACCTTCCCTGTGATCTTGTCCTGAATCCAGAAACAAAACTCATCACAAATAAACCGACATTTATTGTCTTTGCACAGTTGATAGATAGACAACAAATGTTGAGACAGTTTCGGAACATGCAATACAGTCTTTAATTGAAAGACAGATTTTGGAGTATGCAAAACCGAAGAACCAGTATGGGAGATTTGCAAACCTGCACCACTTGCAGTGGTAATTGTGTCAGTGCCAGTGAATGGAGCAGCAAAAGTGAGGTTGGACAGATCAGACGTCATGTGTGATGTAGCACCAGTGTCAGCTACCCCAAAATTGTTTCTTGAGGAGCAGATGGCTGATAGTTAGCTTGCATTGCAGTAATGGAGGATGGTGGAGGTCTTCCTTGAAATGAGAAATTGGCACGATGATAACACTGCATTGCAGAGTGACCAAACTTGCAACAGATCTGACATTGCACTGGTGATGAGGTAACAATAGTAGAAGAATGTCGCTGGAAGCAGTCAACCGCAATATGACCACGTTTGTTGCAAATCTGACACACAGGGATATCATTGTTGTGCTCGGGACAGGTAGAGACATGTGGTCTCGCAGGGCCTAGAATGCCAGGACTATTATTAGGACCAGAGAATCTGAAAATTATTACCAAATGGATGCCTGCCTCTTGCTCGCCCTCTGAAATGTTGACCTCTATAGCCACCAGAATTATTGGTATTGTTACCGGAATGATAGGTGCCACCAGAAGGATAAGGTCCTCCAGAATTGGAAGAACCTCCAGATGAACTACCAGTATGATACTGAGTAGTTAGAGAATTAGAAGACCCGTCATCAAGTACCAAGGCCTTTCCTTTGGACAAAGTATGTTGTGCTGTCATAGCAGTAGTAAATGATTCATGAACTGGAGCATGCTCAACAGTTGTTTCTTCAGCAAGTAACTGAGCTCGAAAGTCCTTGAGAGATATAACATTCTCTCGACCCCTTATAACTGTACGAAAGGTGTTATACTCAAGAGGTAGCCCCTTCAAGGCAAGGATGACAATATCATCATCATCAAATGAAACTCCAGCAGCGGAGAGATGATCTCGGACATCTTTAATCCTCTGTAAGTACTGAGAAACATTCTCTGAGCCTTTCTTGATATTCTGCAACTCAGTCTTGAGTTGAAAAATGCTGGCTTTAGTGATCGTAGAGAATCTGTCCTTCAGATTTGTCCAAATTTCATGAGAATTGGAGCAACCAATGACACACGACATTGCAGGAGTGGAGAGAGTGGCAATAAGGAGCTGCATAAGAGCTCTGTCATGCATTTTCCAGATTTGGTACTCATCAGATTCAACACCTTCAACATCTAAATCTTCAACAAAACGAGTTGGACATCGACGTGTTCCATCCACAAATCCAAAAATTCCATGACTTTCAAGAAGCAACCGCATTTGATAATGCCAAACCAAGTAATTTGTATCATCTAGTTTCACCGTTACAGAAACCAAAACATTAGGAATCAGGTTTGTAATTGGAGACTGAACTATCTGTAATTGTGCAGCAGTCACCATACCGTCGAAATTCTTGGAGAAAAATTGAAGAAAACTGGAAGAGATTGAGAATCTAGGGTTCGTAATTACACACACTTCACTTTGCCAGAGTAATAGTCAGAAAGTGTTGAGAAGAATTGGGAGATTCAGAGAGAAAGAGTCATTCACACATATCATCAAACAGTTTGCGTGCAAGAAACACAACTGAATTGCAGATCATACTTCGCCAGACAAATAAAGATTCACGAGAGAGAAGAATTCATACCATCACAACACAGAGAATGAAGTGAGAAGAGAGAATCGAAGATAGCAGAAGCAACACAGCAGAAGCAACACAGCAGAAGCAACACCTGATCAGGATCGAGACGTGCCGACCCGGCTCTGATACCATGTAAGAAGAAAAGCTTTAAGCTTAAACAATGGAGGTTTCACACTAAGAGAGAGAGAGAGAGAGAGAGAGAGAGAGAGAGAGAGAGAGAGAGAGAATTCTTCTTCTGTTATATATTGTTTTCTTTCACACTGAATCATTACAAACTATTGCTATATATACACTTCACTTTCCTTACAGACTAAGCTAGCTCATAACAAACTTAACAGACATATCAGCTTAATCTATTTACACCTGGTAGCACATCAGCCATTGGATTGATCCTGTGTTTTTATACCTTTACAGTTATCAAACTTATGAACTAAAACATCGATAACATTGAATTCTAGGTAACTTTGAAGGGAGACCACACATTTTTATGTCATCCACACTTTTCACCTTTCAAAGATGTGACAAAGATATTTTGTGTTGCAAATTGTTAAATGCTAAAGGGACTCTTAACAGTGAAATTCTACTTCATATTTTTTACATAATATTTTATAATATTAGCGCAACAAGAACGTTAAACCTGACAGATAGTTCATAAACTTTGAGAGGGTTTCCATGACATTCCTCATTAAGCACCTTACCAAAAATATCCATTAAAATCACGTGATATATCACGTGACCGTGGCGGCAAGAGTTGAAAGAAAAATCTGGCGATGGCGGGAATTTGACTGGTAGTTGGGGCAGCCGACCGCGGCCACCTTCCTTCCTCCGTACCGAAATCCCCAAAATCACCCCCGAAATCCAAATGCAAAACACCGTCGCTTTCACCATAGTAATGGCAAAACACTGAAGCTTCCCCGCTTCCGTGAGAAATAAGCAAGCAAATGTAGGGGTATTTTCCGCATCACGAAAATATCAAGCACCCAACTGTGAGAGCAGTCCGTTTCGAGCCATTTGAATGCCAACAGTCGGATCGAAAGCTTCATCGCTTCTCGAAACCTCCCGAATCTCTAGGGTTTTTGCAGAAATTGAAAAATGCTGGTTTCCGCCCTGGTGACGTCACTCGCAATCAACTCCGGCCTCTGCGTCCTCTTCTTCACGCTCTACTCGATACTCCGGAAGCAGCCGAGCAACTATGAGGTCTACATGCCACGGCTGCTCGCCGAGGGGGAGTTCGACTCTTCGAGTCGTTTCAACCTCGAGCGGCTGATTCCGTCGCCGCACTGGCTCAAGCGGGCCTGGCAGCTCACGGAGGATGACTTGCTGTCGTCCTCCGGCCTCGACGCCGTCGTTTTCATGCGGCTCATTAATTTTAGTCTCAGAGTGTTTCTGTTCGCCGGAGTTATCGGGGTCTTCGTCCTGCTTCCGGTCAACTGCTACGGGAACCAGCTCGAGTATGTTGACTTCGCCGATCTGTCGAATAACTCTCTCGACGTGTTTACGATTTCGAATATGAACGATGGCTCGAGCAAGTGAGTGATTAGATTAAATTTTCTAATTATAAAATTGTTGATTCTACTTAATCTACAATTAAGCTCTTTTAATGTCTAAAATTGATAAGAAAAATTTATAGTTAGTCTTCCTTGTGTATTATAGCATTTTATTTACAATGTGATATTCTATTTTAAACTACGGTGAGAGGGAATTTGAACTCGAGTTGAGGGGGCGGGCACGCTACTCTGACCAATTGGCCTAACCTACGTATGCAAAAGTTAAACTTACTAACGCAGACGTTTTCGACAGGTTATGGATTCATTTTGCTGCTGTGTACCTTGTTACCATCTTTGTCTGCTGTCTACTTTATTATGTAAGTAAAATCTTTGGTGCACTTATATAGTTGAACATCGCTAAACCGAATTGGATGTGCTTAAGACCGTCATAATTTGTATTAGATGTATGTAATGTTGCTAGTTTTGTTGTTACTTTTTCCTTGGAAAGCAAGCTACGCTCGCAAGATTCGAATTGTGATGTCACTGGTTTACAGCTGATGATCTGTGGAAGAGTGAAAAGTTGGAAGTGGATACTAAATGATCCTTCTTTGTGCAGGAATATAGATATATTTCCCAAAGACGGCTTGATTATTTTCAGTCATCCAAACCTCAACCACATCAGTTCACGATCTTAGTTCGCAGCATTCCTGTTCCTTATGGGAGCAGCGTCAGCGAAAGCGTTGACAGCTTCTTTAGAGAGTATCACCCTTCAACATATCTGTCGCATATTGTTGTTCGTCGAACAAACAATCTTGAAAAACTCCTTGTAAGCATTGTTTCTGATGTTTTATGTACTGTTTTAATGTTGTAAAGTTTTCTATTTCTGTCTTTCCGCATGCTTCAATATGTTTTTGTATGTTATACTTTGTTCTTATTACTATCTGATTTTATCATTCTTTAGAAAGATGCGGAAAAACTCTATACCAGGCTCATTCACTTGCAATCAGATCCCAACCAGCAAAAGTATAAACGATCTTGTTGTTTTGGATTGCTTGGACGCAAGGTTAATCTTGTGGATCACTATGAAAAGAAGCTTGAAGGCGTAGAGGAGATTGTGAGATCGGAGCAATCAGAGGCTTCATTAGGAGTAGAAGTATGTGATGACTCTCTCTCTCTCCCCACCCCACTCTCTTCTGCATTCTAAATGATCTTTCCACTGTTTGTTGTATGTAATTGTGGTTCTCAGGGCATGCTATTAATTCAATTTTTATTTTTATTTATTTTGTATGTTTAAGGAAGTTCGAGCTGCTTTTGTTTCCTTCAAGTCTCGGTATGGTGCTGCAGTTACTCACCGCTTGAAACAATCAAACAATCCTACCAAGTGGGTCACAGAGGAAGCTCCTGAACCTCATGATGTTTATTGGCCGTTCTTCTCGTCATCTTTCATCCGAAGATGGATATCTAAGCTTGTGGTTATAATTTTATGCATAGTCCTAACAATCTTGTTTCTTATTCCTGTTCTAATTGTCCAAGGTCTTACTAACCTAAACCAGCTGGAAGTTTGGCTTCCCTTTCTCGAAAGCGTTCTAACCATGTGAGTAAATATCATAACATTGTGATCGATTAAATTCATGAATACTTCTGCAGCATTTGTGAAATACTTGATCTTAGGCAAAGTTCTGAGAAATTGGTTGTACCAAAAATATTATGGAATTCTGAAGATTACCATCTTTTGCTATTGCTGTAAATGACCGCTGTGGTTTTATACAGTTCAAAAAGTTAAACAATAATTGTTCTAACAATTTTTTATGTTTTGGATCACTTGGTGATGCAAACATCTAACTTTCTGTGTCTTCCTGCAGAACATTTGTTAGTCAGGTCGTCACAGGATACCTTCCCAGTCTTATTCTTCTATTATTTCTGAAAACGGTGCCCCCCGTCATGGAGTTCTTTTCATCCATTCAAGGATATGTTTCTCTCAGTGATATACAAAAGAGTGCGTGTACAAAAGTACTTTGGTTCACAATATGGAACATTTTTTTTGTTACTGTATTTTCCGGATCAGTTTTCTCTGCGGTTTCTATCTTTCTTGACCCCAAGAATATTCCTTCAAAGTTAGGCGTTTCTGTTCCAGCACAGGTGAGAAAATGTTTCCTTTACGATGTAATTATATAAACGTCTTGTTCAATAAATTAATAAAACTTAGGAACTGCTTATATCTTATGTGTTAATTGTCAACACATCTAACCTATAGGCTATTGTCTGTGCTTTTTGAGTACCAAATTCCTGCTTCTCTAATCGATTTCTTAGTGTAAATTTGGTACATTTTTTATTGCGCATTTGCCCTCTGTTTTGTTATCAATAACTGTACTAAATCATGATCTTTCTCACAAAAAATGTATATGAATCCTTTCAAAGCTGATGAGCTAAAATCTTCAAACTTTATTGCTTTTGAATAGTATCTTGTACAAGCAAGTTTTAAGTTATTTCACGATGTTTGTTGCAACTTGCAAGTGATCACACCTGCTGTTGCAAGTGATCACACCTGCTCATTTCAGAAAGATGGCTACAATCGATACGCTCAGACATATTTAGTGTCGGGCACTTCTGAGAATGAATCTATGTTTTTGCAATACACATCTGAATCTGAATTACGTTCCCTTCAGTTTAAGCATGCGATAAAAACGATGAGTGTACAAGTTAACTGCCTTATTTGTATCAGGTTCATTATTTTCAGTTTGTTAACATCATTTACTTTGGGTGATGCAGTCGTCTTTTTTCATTGCGTATGTAGTCACTGCAGGATGGACGAGTACTTCATCAGAACTCTTTCGCATAATTCCTCTGATATGGAGTCTATTAAAAAGACCTTTTACTGACAGTAAAGATGATGAATTTGAAGTTCCAGCAATTAGTTACCATAGTCACATGCCTAGAGTTCTTTTCTTTGTACTTCTCGGTATCACATACTTCTTCCTTGCTCCACTGATTCTTCCCTTCCTCTTGGTGTACCTCTGTCTCGGATTCATCATCTATCGCAACCAGGTCAGTAGATTTCAATTAACTAGTTAGAGGATTTGATTTGAATATAGCGTATTGATACTCGGAAAAAATCACTGTGCAGTTCATGAACGTATATGCTCCTAGGTACGAAACTGCTGGCAAGTTTTGGCCGATCGTGCATACTTCAATGATATTCTCTCTGGTACTTATGCACGCTATTGCAGTTGGAATCTTTACAATCAAGAAGGTCGATCTAGCATCTACATTAACTTTTCCTCTTCCTGTAATCACACTTCTTTTCAATGAGTACTGCCGGAAGCGCTTCCTTCCAAATTTCGTTGCTTACCCTGCCGAGGTATGTTTCAATGTCACACTTCTACTACACTTTCACACAACTTCTGGCCTATAAATCTTTGGCTTGACCTACTTTCTTTTTTGTTCCAGAGTTTGATACGAAAGGACAGGCAAGACGAGAACGATCCTTCAATGCCTGAATTTTTCGATAACTTGGTCACAGTCTATCAGGACCCCGATTTGATGCCTATCAACTGTTCTGGGAGCAGTGACAGGCTCAGCAGTCCCCTTTTATCTTCTGCTCATCGAGCATAGGTGTGAGGTATGCTCGCGAATGTCTTTACGATGTACATTGGTGTTATAGTACAGGCTCTACGCGTTATCTTCCTCCCATTTTCGTTTCATTCCATAGCTTTATTCTTTTCCCTCTGCAATACAAAATGTCCCGAAAAGATCACTCTTCCAGCCCGATCAATGTGTTTATTCTCCTCATGTGTATGCATGCATATCCATCTGAGATGTGTTCTTGAAATCAATTTTTATAAAGGTGTCTTGGTTGTTCTGTAATCCCTACATTTCTTCCGAATTAGACAAGTTAAATTGCGATTAGTCCACACTAATCGCGATTACTTATCCCGGGGAGTTGACAAATACAGTGTAGGGTGTTGCAATATCGATGCATGGTTTAAACCATTCACAAGGTAAATAATGATTAGTGTCTTTCTTTGGTCCAAGTCATGATCATGAGCTAAAATTTAGGAAAAAAGGAAAGTTTCTTAAATCAACTTTCAGATTAAAAAGTCTGATTCTTCCCCTTTTGATAGCAGATTGTCAAGATGTTGTTCTAAAAGTTTATTCAATGTACTAATTTGCAGTGATGGACTAATTTCAAATTAGTTTGACTTAACGGAATATGCATTTCAGTGTTCTAAGTAAATAGGGGGTTTGTCGAATATGGGAATAGTTGCAGAATGTGAGTAGCGAGCGCCCCGCACAAAACCGTCAGTTGACTAGCTATTCACATCTCGTAACTATCCTACAAGATTAATCAAATCCCACATTTTGAAAATTTCTATGCTCTATTTGCAGACAACGAATGTTGACACTTTCCAAAATTTAATTTCATAGTACACAAAATCGAACAATAATTAATTATTTATTTAAATATTAGTTTTATAATTTGGTCTTTAACCTTACCGGTGGCCTCTTCCCATTGGAAGTCTGTAGTGAAGTTTATTATTTGACATCACTAGACTGGTCTTCTTCCCGCCCACTGAAATTTGGCGTTTTCATAATTATGTTTGACTGCAATATATTGCAACAATCTTACTTTTAACATGGTACGACAAAAATGTGTTAAATATTTCAAAAATTTACACCAAATTTTCTAAATCTTACGTTTAAATGTAAATTTTTTTTAGCTTTTCATCATTTGTTACCTGTATTTTTACCTACCGATATTCTAAACTTCTTTATAAACTAAGATTTGGATATGAATTCAAAGGACAAGTGCCGTGTCCTAATCAGTTGCGGATTTAGGATTCGAATCTTGAAAGGTTTTAAGGGTCTAGGTTTTTAAATAGAAACAAAGTACGAAGCGTGCAATTTATTCCCTAAAGCATTTCATTGAACATTTGGTGGGTTTGTTGTTGTTAGCCAAACTAAATTGCATCCATATCAAAAGATATTGACATGCCGAAGTAATTTAACGAGTGCTATTGAGGGTGTTATCAATGCCACCCACAAGAGGCATTTATCACACTTGATATGCACAAAAATGACCCTTAAGAAATGTTCGGAAGGTCTCGGAAGACCCTCATATGTACATTTCTCGAACTTTGGGTGATCTTGGGACCACCTTGGTCCCAATGTGTATCCGACACAAGTCTTAATTAAGTGACTTAACCCGAATGTTTAATCGGTTTTGAATTGTTTAATTTGTTTTTATAATAGAAATTAGAATGATCACTTTAACTAATGAAGAGTCATATTTTATCAGCCAAAGTAAATAATTAAATAATTTTATCATTCCCGATGAATTATTTAATCAAAGGGTCATATTTTTGTGAATGTCAAAGACATCATGATCAAAGCAAAAGCAACGGTTGGAGATGAAAGTGAAATCTTGACTTCAACTTTCATAATATTCATCCATTTAATATTGGAGTGCTGGTAACAGATAATCTTGCATGACGCAATAATGATGACATAAACGATAAACATAGCAATTAGTTTCCGCTAATCAAACTTAAGAGCCGTTAATTTCTGCTAATCGGGTTCGATCAGATTTGCTTGAATTGACTTCCATTGTTGCAGTGGGGAGGATTTGATCTTTTGTCTCCATTCTGTTTTCTCTCTTTCTTCCTTGTTTGTATCCAATTTGGATTTGCATTTCTCACTTGTTGCTTTCCTTTTCTTTTCCAAGTTGTCATCATGAGCATCAAGAATATTGACACCGCCAAAGGAACGTAGTAAGAAGAAAAACTCGAGTGAAAACGTTCAACATGTTATCATTCTCTTCACATAGTAAATGTTGTAATAAATTTAAACTGTATGTAAGATTCTCTGACGTAAACTCATGTAAATGTTGTTCATATTGTACAAACCAAAACAATGGAGGCTACATGGGCAAAAAAAAAAAAAAATCATGAACAATGGATCATCGAGGTTTTCTTAAAAAAAATAGTGAACAATGGATATGATGTGGTCTTAAATTTAAATAAATTAAACATTTATGAGAAATTGGAGCAACAATTTTTTAACTTTGGCTCAATTAAAGTTTTGTTCTCTGAGTTAAAAATTCATGAGTATTGGTTATTGAACTTTTTATAATGTGGAGTAATAATCTTTTTGGCCAACTCTGTTAAAAATTTCATCTATTTTTTGTCCCTTTAAATCCTTTATTTTGAATGAAAGTTATAACGGAGTTAGCCAAAATCCTTATTGCTCTACATTAGACCAATTCTGAAATTAATTTTGACGAATTTTTAATGTAAGGATCAAAAACTCAAATTGAACAAAAATTCAAAGGCCATTGCTCCAATTATCACAATGCTTATAGGCTCCACACTAATCATATTGTCCTATCACCACATTCCAACAATGTTTATCCTTAAAATACAAAGGGGCCCACCTTCCTAAGTGGATCAATGGTCCCTTCTCTTATGATCTTATCATCACACGAGCACTAATCATGTTCACAAAAGATGGGGCAAATGGGGGGCTGCCAGTAGTACTAAAAAGTGGAAATACAATCGGGAAAAATGTTCAATAATGTTCAATACACAAAGAAATGCAGATATTTGTAAATGCACTTCATCATGTGTGTATTGAAAAATAATGATATAATTTAAGGATGGGTTCGGTTTCATTCGGTTTGGTTTTTTGATAAAATCGAAAATCAAACCAAAACTACTATTTGGTTTAGTTCAGTTTTTTTCAAGTTCGATTCAGTGTTCGGTTCAATTTTTGGAACCCACTTCTAATCTAAACGCTTCTCTTTTAATCTCTTGCACTATTTCAGTTCATGTGATTGTACAAATAAATTATAAACTAATCAATTAATGCACAAATTATTAACACATAGCCAAAATCGATATTCGAAGGAGCTAGTAAAACACAATTTTATTTGTTCTCATAACTTTTCAACCTTAACTAACACTTGTAGGTCAAGTATATATTATAATATTTTAGTGTATAGAGTGTTGAATTTTTATTCACTCGAGGTTTAAAACACCCCTGCATTAATAACAACACTTAAAACTAATAAAAAAACACTTGGAGGTCGCATAAAAATGGTCCCAAAAGATCCAAATCAACCGTTTTCAAGGACAATGATGCCTTAAAAAAAAGAGGAGAAAATAGGCAGTCAAATATTATGAATTGTAGAAAGGGAGGAACAAAGTACAAAAGATGAATAAAAAAATAGTGTAAAAGGATAAGAACCCTAATCACTATCAACAAACCTTTTCCATCCTCGTTTGACTTCCATGCATTTTCAAGGACAAGGTCTAAGGTTAAGGTCGAAGAATCCATATGTTTGACAGGTAGTCAATGAAACGAAAAGGGTGTTTGAATAATCAATACTGTAAAATAGAAGAGCATAGTATATAACGTCTCGTATCAATTGTACAATACGTTATGTAAAAAAAATTGAGTAAACAACCAGATCATATAATCCTCAAAGTAACTTTTACAAAGGCTAAGAATTTTGTGTATTTCGATTTCACTCTGTATAGTTTTTGAGTTATCCGAAAATAGTCTAAAGTTTTATTTTTTGCAAAAATTAATAATTTTTTTTAATAGCGTAGCTTGGTCACGTCATTTATAAAAAGCTACGAAATTTATTTCATTTTGTTCTTATTGAGATTGAAAGCTGCCCTAACCAATTAACCACACCAAATATTTACTCTACCCTAAGTATAGACTGCATTAGTAAGTCCAAATGTCATAATCCTACGATTCAGTGATATTTCTTTTCACTTGCAGGTGAGAAGTCATATGTTTAATTCCCGTAAAAAATAAATTTAAACCATATTATTACTAACCTATTGTGATTCTCAATGTAAATAATATCGTTTGTTAAAAAAAAAATCCAAAAGTATAAATTTTTTTTGAAGACTAGTCCAAAAGTATTTGGTGTTTTAACCTTTTCTCAGGCATCGGTCCACTTTTCCCTTCAACTTACCAGTATCAAAACCATCTCGACATAAAGAACCCCCATAGGATTTTCGGAACTCAAACTCAAACTCTCTCTCTGTCTCTCTGCAATAACTACACACAACTTCTGCTTTCTGCTCAGGCATCTCTCTCTCCTCTCTCTCTCTCTCTCTCTCTCTCTCTCTCTCTCTCTCTCTCATGCACACAGCCATTCTTCCTTTCTCACTCCTGTATTCTCACTCAATCAAGCCATGGAAGACACAGAAAACTCCAATGGCGACCAGAAATACCACCCCAACACCAGAAGTCTGAGGGGCGGCAGCAGAGCCAATCCTCAGAAGTACCACCACCACCACCAACTAATCCGCCACACAAACCAGTTCGGTTTCTGCAACCAGAACCAGTATAATCAGAGATACTCCTCTTCCTACCCAGCTCTTCTTCCTCTCCCTCCTCTCCTCCCTCTGCAACTCGCTCTAACTCCACCTCTGCCTCCAAACCACCACTTCCGATCAAAAACCCACCTCCAGAAACATTCCTGCAGGCTCAATACTCCTCCTTTCGCGGCCTCCTCCGAAACCCAGCTGGCCCAACTCACAATTTCACCAGGTAAGCCTCAAAGCTCTCTGCTTTTTTTTGCTATTTCCCCTTTCTTTGCATGCCATTTTTCTCTCTGTGTTTCAAAGTTTTGGTTTTTATATTTTACCTTCAGTTTTACATAGTTGGTTCTTGTTCTCCCAGTAATTTACTTTCAGCTATAGAGATGGATAGAAATTTATCTACAATGAGAAGGGTGATTGTTGAAAAAATGATATTTGTTACCAGTTCAAAAGCATTAATTTCAATAAAAATGGTTGATTTTAGGCTTCAAATTCCTTAAACTTTTTAGTAATCTTGTTACTATTAAT